GTGTAACACTTTACACGCGCAGAACGTGTGCGTGTCAATCCTACTGCCGCACGCAGTGGCCGCACTGTGTCCAGGAGTCAAGACCGCAATGTCCAGGTCTGCTGCTGGCCACGACGAGAGGGCCTCATCAGAGAGAGAGAGAGAACCCGTGTCGTTTTTCCACTTAGGATGACGAACCCAAAGAGACCCGTACTCATACAGACCCATACTCAGAGACCCATGGAGCGTTAGTAATAGGTTTTTACCCTTTTAGCTGGCACAAAAACTGACACCTTTATACAAGGGATCATGTTTGCAATAACCACAACACAAGCAGTCAAAAATGCAAACAAAAAGAAACAACTCTGATAATGATATTGGCACTGTCCTTGAATTTGATTGGTCCACACCCGAGAAGGCTTTTCTTAGAGCCTAGTCTCCACTGGTGTTGGACCAGATGACACCATAAGGCATACAACTCATAGAGCGTTGTCGTGGACAGCAAGTCACTCTATGGGTCTCTGTACATCTCTATCTCCATGGGTCTCTATGCATCTCGAGGAGTTTACTATGTTTTCCATAGCTTGGGGTGTCGTGGTGGCGAAATGTTAACTTCCTCACCTGGTGTGAAGGAGGTCGTGGGTTCGACCCCGACCCTGATGCCTGATGTATATTTGAAGTTTGCATTTCTCTCTGTCCCGGTAAGTGGCATGGATTTTTGTCCAGATCCTCTGGCTTTTCCCTCCACGTGTAGACTATCCATGCATTTAGAGCATTTTGGCTGCTATAATAGATAGAGATCCTTTATTGTCATTGTCACCAGTACAACGACATTTAAAGTGCTCACCAGTCAGTACATCATTCATAAATTTAAATAAATAAAACAACAAATAAAATAAAATAAATACATTTTATATATAAAAACTACCCAAGTATACCCACATAAAAGTACATTTTATCATTGCACATCCTTATTTTAAAGTCAATTGTATACAGTATTACTTAGTAATAAATTAGCAGTATTGAGTGTGGTAATTGCTGTAGGATAAAAGCTGTATTTGAATCTGTTTGTCCTTGTTTTGACCGATCTGGATCATCTGCCTGATGGCAACAGCTCAAACAGAGAGTGTCCAGGGTGAGAAGAGTCCTTTATAATGTTCTTCGCTTTTTCGATGCAACGGGAATTGTGTAGTTCTTCCAATGTGGGGAGAGAGCACCCGGCGATTTTTTGGGCCGTGTTGATGACCCTCTGCAGCTTTTTCCTCTGAGCCACTGTGCAGCTGGTGTACCATACACAGATGCAGTATGTGAGAATGCTCTCGATGGAAGCTATAAATTCCCACGTAAGCCATCTCTCGTTGGAGCTGCTATCATTTGTGGCCAAGTCACTTCTGAAAAAGAGCTATATAGCTCAGTGGGCCTTACCTGATCGAATAAAAACATAAATAGAATTTAGTTACACACAGGCACACAGAGAGTCGATGCATTAATGCTGTGGGTCAATGGGTCTGGTTTTCTACAGGCCTGAATCCCCACCAGCGAATCAACTTTCCACTCAAGTTCCACTAACATCGAATTAACTCTACGAGACTTCACCCAGAACACCCGTTTCCCACAGACACATTGAGCTGTACCGTTGGCCGATGAAGCGGTGTTGTCTGGAATAACACTGGTGGTGAGACAAGGCTGTCGTCTCTGGTGTAGGCCAATCAGTTTCAAAGACAGGGCACACGCAATTATTATCAGAGCCATGTTTGTTTGCAATGTTTTGCCAAGAGTACTGGTGTGTGTGTGGTTAATGCAGTACTTGATTCCTTGCAAAAGGTATCTTTATTTGGTGTTCGAACATCTTAACACAACCTGTTTCACTGACATAAAGGGTAAACTCCTATTCTTATTTTTCATGCACAGAGGAGCTAACGCGATTAATGCTTTGAATCAATGGGTCTAGTTTTCTCCAGGCCGAGTCTCCACCAGCAAATCAACATTCCACTCAAGTTCCGCTCATATCGGATCAACTCTACGAGAGCCCTACCCTGACCCCCTCCCCACCCGCCCACGTTGCACACAGACACGCACGGAGCTAATCCGATCTCCGGACGCGGCAAGGCAGCTGGTCCACCACAGTGGATAACTTGCCGCACCACCGCCCCTCCGAGACGTACTTCAACTAGACTATGAAACTTTATTTTATTTTACCAGGTACGAACCCGCTGAGATATGTAGTAGCTCATTTTCAGAAGGGCACCTGGCAATCAGAAATGATGGCTCAACGAAGTGGATCATCATCATCGGCGTCGTCGCGTGGAAATTTACAGCGGTAGGCAAATGCTCGAAAGGCGTGATGTTGATTCCAACATGTGGCGAGGTGGTTAACATCTCCAAGCCACATGCAAACTCCAAATATACAGCAGGCGTCAGGGTCGGGATTGAACCCACGACCTCCTGTATACCAGGCGAGGTAGTTAACATCTCCTAGCAACCGTACTGGCTGGTCCACCGTGGAAGAATAAATGAACGAACACTTGAATGGCTAAGCCTTTGATTGTTTTTACATTCGCAGCTCCGTCTATCGATTCACTGCTGGATGGATTGAGTGGGGGGGGGGGCTGTGTGGGGGGGCTGTGGGGGGGGCTGTGGGGGGGGCTGTGGGGGGGCTGTGGGGAGCGGTAGCATAGTGGTCAGCGCTACGCTGCGCTACGAACCTGGTGACCCGAGTTTTGATTCCCGCTCACGGCCAACGCCGGTGACGATTATCTGAACCGGTCCTGGGCCTCCCCCTAGGTCGACTCGGCCTCAAAAATCATACTGGACATCGAGTGAAAAAAAGCTTCACAGCTCATCGGGATTCCTCCTGCGATCCCGAGGGCCTCTTCGTCAAACGTTTAACGCGAGGCGTCTAGAAAGCTCGGAGTTTGCGAACGGGAGAGAAGTCCAGCGGCCTCTCCAAAAAGTTTGGCTCAACTGCAGTTTGACCGTAGCCCCCGCCACGCTGGTCAGCTGCAGGAGGATCGAGAGAAACAAAGCTGTCAACTCGTTATCAGTGCCCTCAATTATTACGGCCCGATTCAGACCAAATTGGTCACCACCGTGCCCCCTTTATAAAACTAAACGTTCATCCTACAAAGAAGTCACCATCGCAAGGGAGAAACACAAACAAATAGACTATTGTCATTTTTTTGGCCCGTATGGAAACGGCTGTACCCCGTACGGACTTGAAATACTTCAATTTCCCTGTACAAGCATACGGGGTAAACCCGTTTTGGTTGACAGGTATTCACTAGCCAGTGTCTCTCCACCTGTGTGTCACTACCCAGTGTCTCTCCACCAGTGTCTCACTACCCAGTGTCTCACTACCCAGTGTCTCGCCACCCAATGTCTCGCTATCCAGTGTCTCACTCCCAGTGTCTCACCACCAGTGTCCCACTACCCAGTGTCTCACCACCCAGTGTCTCACCACCCAGTGTCTCACCACCCAGTGTCTCACCACCCAGTGTCTCACCACCCAGTGTCTCACCACCCAGTGTCTCACCACCCAGTGTCTCACTACCCAGTGTCTCACTACCCAGTGTCTCACTACCAGTTTCACTATCCAGTGTCTCACTACCCAGTGTCTCACCACCCAGTGTCTCACTCCCCAGTGTCTCGCTACCCAGTGTCTCACCACCCAGTGTCTCACTACCAGTGTCTCACCACCCAGTGTCTCACTACCCAGTGTCACACTACCCAGTGTCTCACTACCCAGTGTCTCGCTACCCAGTGTCTCGCTACCCAGTGTCTCGCTACCCAGTGTCTCGCTACCCAGTGTCTCGCCACCCAGTGTCTCGCCACCCAGTGTCTCACTACCCAGTGTCTCACTCCCCAGTGTCTCACTACCCAGTGTCTCACTACCCAGTGTCTCGCCACCCAGTGTCTCACTACCCAGTGTCTCACCACCCAGTGTCTCTATACCAGTGTCTCACTACCCAGTGTCTCACCACCAGTGTCTCACTACCCAGTGTCTCACTACCCAGTGTCTCACTACCCAGTGTCTCACCACCCAGTGTCTCACTACCAGTGTCTCACCACCCAGTGCCTCACTACCAGTGTCTCACTACCAGTGTCTCACCACCCAGTGTCTCACCACCCAGTGTCTCACCACCCAGTGTCTGACTACCAGTGTCTCACCACCCAGTGTCTCACCACCCAGTGTCTCACCACCCAGTGTCTCACCACCCAGTGTCTCGCTACCCAGTATCTCGCTACCCAGTGTCTCACCACCCATTGTCTCACTACCAGTGTCTCACTACCCAGTGTCTCACTACCCAGTGTCTCATGACCAAACCTGTCAGCCCCTATCAGTGCCCCCACCTTATTACAGACCTTATTGGTCAACCGGTGCCCGTTATAAATCTCAACGTTCATCCCACAAATTCCCATCGCACGCAAGGGAGAAACACAGCGAAATAGACCCATTTGTATCATTATTTTGTTGCCCGTATTGAAACAGCTGTATTCCGTAGGGCTCTGAAACACTTAAATGCCCCCCTGTACAAGAATACGAGAGAGAGGGGGGGGGTAAAAATAAATTAAAAAATAAAAACCTCGTTTGGGTTGACACGGGCTACGAGAGGGGAAGGAGGAATAAGCTTTGAACGATTAAGAGTTTGACCCAGCAACTTTTTTTGCGGGTCGACGGAATAAATAAAAAAAATCGCCTGCAACTCACCGAGGACGGCGATCGAGACAGCAGCAACTGGAGGCTGAGGGCAACACCGGCAACTTTTTTTTGCGGGTCGACGGAATAAATAAAAAAAATCGCCTGAAACTCACCGAGGACGGTGATCGAGACAGCAGCGACTGGAGGCTGAGGGCAACACCGGCAACTTTTTTTTGCGGGTCGACGGAATAAATAAAAAAAATCGCCTGCAACTCACCGAGGACGGCGATCGACACAGCAGCGACTGGAGGCTGAGGGCGACACCGGCAACTTTTTTTTTGCGGGTCGACGAAATAAATAAAAAAAATCGCCTGCAACTTACCGAGACGGCGATCGAGACGGCAGCGGCTGAGGCTGAGGCAGCATCGTCGGTGGTCGCCCCCTTCTTGCGCCGCGAAAACAGCTTCCCCACTCCGGCCATGCGATCGCCTACGCGTCCGACTCGCCCAGGCGACGGAAGGCGAATGCATCGGTTTTGATTTTTTTAAATTACGACGAAGGGCAACATCGCCTCAGGAATCGCCTCAGGTATCGCCCCACACTCGCACGCGCGCGCAAACTCAACGAGCGGCCGCCGCGCGCCCTCGCGCCGCCCGCTATTTAAAGGGCGCGAACCTCCCCTCGCCGCTCCCCATTGGTCCGAAGTTCGGCGTCGTGACGTCATCACGCACGCACGCACGCGCGCGCTTGGCGACGGACGCGTTTTGACCAAGGAAGGGGGTGACGTCATCACGCACGTACAGCGACGGACGCGTTTTGACGATGGGAGGGGGTGACGTCATCACGCACGTGCGGAGACATACGCGTATTGACGACGGGAGGGGGGTAGACGTCATCACGCACGTGAGGCGACGGACGATTTTTGACGACGGGAGGGTGACGTCATCACACACGTGCGGAGACGGAAGCGTTTTGACAACGGGAGGGGTGACATCATCACGCACGTGCGGCGGCGGACGCGTTTTGACGACGGGAGGGGGTGACGTCATCACGCATGTACGGAGACGGACGCGTTTTGACTTGAGCGGGGTGACGTCATCACGCACGTGCGGCGACGCTCGAGGGCCGTTAGCGGGATGACGTTCCCATTCAAGAATTGACTTTCGCCGGGGGCGCGCTGTCTACAGTTATGACATCATTGCCCAATGTCCGAGGGATTTGGGGGGATGACGTTTTCACCCAAGAAACAACTTTCGCAGGAGCTCGACGCGCTTTCATGGCAAATGACGTCATGGTGCATGTGCTAACAGCGGGGGATGACGTCTCGCACACGGCAGGGCGCGGAGCCGTGATACGACGTCACCAACTAAGGCCAAGTCCAAGTGCCGCTTCGAGTGACGTCATCACGCACGGTCGCCGCTGTATTTCGTGACGTCATAGCACAAGCGCAAGGCGACGAGCGCCGCCACTCATTTTGTTGGCGACGCGCGTCGCGCACGGCCAAGTTCGAGAGCCTGTAGCGGGGCGACGTCTTCACGCACGACGCCACGTGCGGGCAATGACTGCAGCGTGTGAAGTGACGTCACCCCCCCTCTGAAGGGGCACGGGGAAGGCGTGGTGACGTCACCCCCCTCTCTCTCGAGGGACACGGGGAGGCGTGTTGACGTCATCCTCCTCTCTCGAGGGCACGGGAATGACGTGGTGACGTCATCGCTCCCTCTCGAGGAGCAACGGTGCCTGGTGACGTCATCGTACAGGCAGCGCGTGATTGCGTCACCAGTATACATTCGACCGCTGAACAAACAATGTCTCCCACTGACAGCTCCGAATCTGAATGTTTGCCTGCACTGGAGAAATCCGATGAGCTGTAAAGCTCTCTTTCACAGAGGTCATGGGTGGGGGGAGGAGGTGGGGGGGGTTACTAACCATACTTCAACAACAACAACAACCGCCATTCGCCACTAAGTGGCGGTGACGTCACCACGACGCTTGTACCAGGCTATGTGCACCTTGAGGCAACGCTGGGCACAGGATACCAGTGCACTGCCCTCTGCCGGCCAACACGCGTTAATTTTAGATTTGAAGCTTTCGTGACTGCAAGGATCCATACTCTTTGGTTCTATTCGGTAAAGTCACGTAGGTAAAAAATAAAACAACAAAATTCACGACGTTTCGGCCACAACACAAGTGGCCTTCATCAGGTGAAGGGACCGTGCTGTCCTACGCTGTCCTCGTGACAGCACGGTCCCTTCACCTGATGGGGGGCCATCCATAAATGACGTCACGCGATTTTGGACGATTTTTAACCCCCCCCCCCACT